AATTATATTAACTGAACTAGCAGTACAAAGTCCCTAAAGCTGCCTAAAAGAGATATGAATGATTCAGGATGAAAATAAAGGAACCGGCTATTACTAATAGCATGTTAATCATTACGCCTGAGAGACGATCTAAGTAATGCTCTTGTAAACAACAAAAAATAGCATTCCTACAACAGATAGTCACACTTAAGAACAGATAATAATGGATGACCGATGAGTAATCCAGTTAATCTATGAGCAATAAAGACTGCGACATATCATTAATCTGGTTACCTATTAAATGCTGACTGTATTTGATTTAAGGACTGATGAAAAGTCTGAAGAAGTATACCGTAACGATTTGAAGGTACCTACATTATTCTATCTTTCAAGGAACAGACTATTTCCAGTGCTTTGAGTCTACACACCTACTTCATGCAGTTTAATTCCTAAGCATAGGACTACCAGTGGCATATCTAGAAGGTGAAGGGGGATCAATGATTAAGTGAGAGAAAGCTAGCTCATAAAATATAGTGATACTGTAAAAGTTGATTTTTATCTACTTGATCATGATTTTTTTGTTTTTCATTAATTTTAAATAGAGGGGGGGGGGGGGTGGGGAGACTTTTTAGGGTTGTCCCTATATTTCACCCTTACCTAGATACGCCACTAAGGACTACAAATCCTTGGTTAAGACTTTAAGTAGGGCTTGGGCAATACAAACTTTTTGGTATGATGGTAATGATGACAATGATAGAGATTATATTATGATATGAAACATTTTGATGTTTACAAGTACCAATATTAACATTATAATACAATATCAACAATGGATTAATCACAATAATTTGCTATGTAGTGTAGTGTAAATAAACACAACAGAAATCCATGTCAGATATCAAACAAAATGTTCATTGATGATCTAATAATAATATAAGTATCACGATGCATGCAACACTGATCTAGGTGGAGTGTACAGTAATAATGATTCACCAAGAGGTCACTGACTTTCAGCAAGTCGGTAGCATGTATCATCATTTAAAATAGCAACAAATATTCATAATATGCAGTATGGTAATCATGTCATCACTTGATCTCACATCAAATTTTGCTATTCCATCACATGCAGTAAATTAACAATAGTGCATGGAAAATTAAAAATACTGTACTACAGTAATACTAAATAGATTGTTATAATGATGAGCTGGGATTTTATAGGCAATTAATATATGATAATGACAAGTATAATTTCTAATTTATTTGTTATATAAACTTAAGTGAATCAACTAAAACAAACCTGGGTTATAAGTAAAATATTAAAACGAGGACACTAATTTTATGATTTAATTTTATTAAGTTTTATTCAAAATTATATTCAACAGGTTGCCTACAGTATACTGTACTGTATACAAACTCTTCAAAATAAAATGATGAATCACAGTACTGTATAAAGGCATCAACACAATAAAATCATCTATTATTAATATTCCTTATTAACAATAGTCATAAATCCCAAGTTTGAAGGAGACTATTCTGGGAAACCTGCATTGGCAGATTCTACAGTAGAAAGGGACTTTCAGACATGGAATGTCTAGACCTCAATCCCATCATGGTTGGGTCAGATTATGGTTATTAATGTATGATTATGGCATCTCTAGATGGCCAGAAATGGCACTCTCTAGTCTCAGACTCAAATTTAATATAATTTTTTTTTTCTCCACTTAAATAATTTTAAAAGACAACCCCACATCTCATTTTTGTTGGCCAAGGCTAAAGTAACGCCAAACACACGTGGTGTCAATACCACGATTGGAACTTTGTACAGCAGTATTAGCTACCACACTTGCACAGAAAATTTGCTCCGATCTTGGCAGCCGAATAAAATTAGATAGTACCACATTTTACAGAGAGTAAAGCAGTACTAGGATACATATCCAACAAGTCCAAATGATTTCACACTTAAGTCGCAAATCGAGTACACAAAATACACACCTTGTCAAAACCGTATCAGTAGCACCACGTACCTACAGACCAGAATCCTGCTGACATAGCTTCACATTCTGTGCCAGCTAGTCATCTCAATGCTACAATTTAATTCAAAGGACCAACATTTCTGGCTATGAATCCCACTGGGTTGAAGATAGAGCTCGCTATGGACAACATTCCCTGCCGTGAGAACAGTTAAGGAGGGGGAGGGCAGGGCCAGCTTCCCCCTTTTGAGTCTGCCACTGATATGGTTAATAAGCTATCTTAACACATTGCTGCACATAATGATACCCATCGGCACTGAAACTGCGAGTTAATTTTTTTTTTTTATAAAATCATTCGTTTATTCAATCACAATTAAAAAGAAAGCACATCGAATCCAGGTCAGTCATTTAATGGTCGGTCAACACGATGGAAGCCTTTGATCATCATTAGTTTATTTGTCATATAACCATGGTACTGTAACAGCATTCAATAACATGCAAGCTTCAATGGCAGGTTCTTGAAAATATAAACATACAGAGATCTCTATTCTGTGATTGGTTGTCATGCAGCATTAAATATGATGTGCCAATGTATTTTATAATCATGTGACACAAAATGTCGTACTGTCATTTAATGGTCAGTCAACACAATGGAAGCCTCTCATCATTAGCTTATTTGTCAGCATATCACCATAGTAACATCATTCAATAAGATCCAAGCTCATACGGCTTCAATGTCTATATCAAACTAACTGTATGACACTATCATCTGCTATAGCATTTGTATAATATAGGCAAAACAAGTTTAACTGCAAATCCCTCAAATTTGTATCTGCTTGTTCACTTGTACACTTATTTATCATATTTCCATGGTAACATTTATTGGGAAAAACATTTCCATATATAAATCCATTATATTTCATTTACCATGCTCTATATAATTCTTGAAATTATTATTAACAATAGGAAAAAAATCAAAAACAATTTAGATGTAAAATTATGAGGGCACTATGGAAAATAGTGAACAGCATTGGCATAGTGTAAGGAGTCGAGTAGCTTGAGGGAAAAAAATGTTGGGGGGGGGGCCCTTATATATCAACACAGTATTTTGGCTTATGAATTAGCCAAGAGGTTGGTCCCTACCTATGATATAAAATAGCTAAAAGAATGGTCAAGGCTCTACTTAACAATTAACATGATGGGTAGTACAGTAGTAAGATGAGCTCGGAGACGCTTTTCGGTTGGGGCTCCAACTCCCAAAATGAGAGTCGCATTACATGTGAACTGAGCTCCATTATTCCCTGAAAAAAATAATGCCTCAAATACCTCATGTATTGTACCATGTACCAAACAAACAGAAACAAAATATTGGTGTGGCGCTTTTCATGCCTGTTCCCATGGTTACCTATCTCACGTATTCCTGTAGTTCGGTAGGCCTTCATTGTGTTATACACTTGAGCACTCTAGGCCTATACATTGTACAGTATTTAAAAACCTGTTTCTCAAAGTGCTTCACTACACGCAGGTAATAGAGTATGTACAGTACTCTCAAGCGCCGCAGCGCTTATTCAAAATAGATCTCGCTGCGGCACTTATTCGAGAGCACTGCTTAGGAAAAAAAAATTACATTTGGTGCAGCGCATATTCAAGAGCAATGTTTATTCAAGGATTTACGTACAATAAGTGTACTTGTTTTGTATACTGTAGTATGGTAATATACTGCGAGCATCAGCAGATGGGCCCAGAAGACAAAATCTGTCTGGTGAAAATTAAACCACCATTTGGCGAACGATGGACTACCTGCCAGGAAAATCTTGTATTACCCTTGCTTCTTGCATGCCTAGACATGATGGGAGACTTCTACTTTCGTTTCTTCTCACTAGTTTCGATAATTTAATGGTAAATCATGTTGCCTTATCAAACAAATGGAAATTGGATGGATAAATATATTAATACAGCTTGTGCAGTGGCGACAGACAATGAAATTGTGTAGCGAGTCAACAAAATTATGTAGCAATTGGTCAATAATTCAGCAGAGCGGGCAGTAAGCTAAGTTTTGAGGAATAGGATAATTACATTAAAGGTAAAAACGTTGCTATTGAGGACATATAAATTATTTTTATTGTTATAGTTATAGATTCTAATTTGCTGCTTCATTTTCATCCTTTCCTTTTCTTTGACTCTGCAAATCAGAACGCTCTACCGTACGGTAAATCCTCGAATAAGTGCCGAACCAAACATCATATCTACCAAGTCCCCCACATCAGGCGGGAACCTCCAGCTTTTTGACCCTATCTCAAGCCCTCCCGCCAGCCACATACATTCTACTATACAAAAATAGTAATCTTTATACAATAAAGATTAGGCCAGGCTCACAGGTAAGTACTATATTATCAGGTAATAATCTATTTTGGAACACTAATTAATGTTGTAATGTGTGTTTTGTGCTGAGTGGTCCCTACAGTGCACCAGAGAGCATCTTCTGTAGGTCTAAGCCTATTGAAGTCCTTTCGTGGAAAAATCTCAAACCAGCACTTCTCCGTTTGGCATGTATGAAACATTTTTTTTTTAGAGTACATATTTAACCTCTGCGTGTAATGAAACACTTTAACTGGCAGGGTTTAACATACATTGTATACAGCATTCTATTCTAATTATTGTTTATTTACGATGATGAGGGCCCATGAATAGGCCTACCAAACAACGGGAATATGTGAGATAGGTAACCATGGGAAACTATACAAAAATTCAGTATGCTACAATATCTCTTCTCTATAGCAATGGTCTAGGCCCTAGTATAATAAGTATAGGTATAGGCCTAGTATAGGCTAGGCCCAGTAAATAAAATCATGCATACTAATATTAATAATTAAATAACTAGGCCTAGCCTATGCCTAGGCCTACATCCTTCTAGTACATGCCTACAGTAATTTCAACACTGAGTGACTGTCTATATCATAATTATGTTGTGCAAGCTAAACATTAATGAAAACACAAAACAAAAATCAAACAATTAACACCTCTCTCTAGCCTAATGAACAATGACCTTACCTGTCAAATAACTGAATATAGTTTGCAAATGAGCTTTATCTTTATAATGTCCTCGTGACAATGAACTCCAGACAACATCTGATATTTTCTTTACCATATCTCTGGTAGCAAATTGAGATTTGTGCTCACTTAAATCTACCGAACCTTTGATTTGAGATTCAAACTTAGCGAGGAAGGCCTCCACATAGGATAATTGTATGACGGGGAAGATTGTCTCAAGCGTGCGAGACTCGTCCACGCCTCCCATCATCACCGTATTGTTGGCGCGATTACTCGTAAGCGCATTTTCCACTATGCCTGCAATTAAAGATAGCATTGCCAGATTAGGTTCATGATCATCGGTAGTAAGTTCTGAACGAAATAATTTAACAACAGCCTGTATGTCCTGTAATGGAAATAAACGTTTCGCATCGTTCCGAAATCCCGCCATCTTTGGCTTTGCCCGTTGCATTTCTCGAGGTAAACAAGACATGATCGGTCGTCCAAGCCAAACAAACAGAGCAGAGTTGATGGTGGTAGCGATGATGGTCACTACACCTGCATAACTTATAATTATTATTCAGTAAAATATCACAACAATAACCATCAGATAGTCACGTATTTGGTTGAGTCATTTTCAAATGATGACACACTGCAATTAACTAATTTTGATCAGTTAACAATATGTGAGAAATAACGTAATTTCTTCATGTATCCCACGTGCGTCATCCGTCAGGTCAACGAACTAGTCTTTTCGATACGTTGTGAGGTAATTTCTAGAGGGAGTCCTTTACATTTCAGTGTACAGAGTGTGGGTAGGTGTGGTTTGCTGCTGTAGGTGACTCCACGTGGTCACAATAACAAACCGTCCCCACCACCTGAAATAACTGTGATTTCTGTAGATCATATCCTAGTTTATGAGTTAAAGCACAATCCTGTCAACAAGACGGTTAGTTTCTATGGTTTCTAGTCAGTAAAACACCATTTCAGTGAAGATCACCGTCGGCGTTTTTGAAGTTTGACCGGTGTGCGATCTGTTGTGGTTTCCTGCTGGAGCTGCGGTTACGTACCTGGGAATCACAAGCCGCGGTATAGAATTTGTTTTTGCTTGCCGATTGGGACCGTGAAGCAGTGACAGGGGTCCCAAGCTGGAAGAAATCCTTCCGTTCCGGGAGATCTGGTTAAATGAGCTTTGCTAACATTTGATTTTGTTTTGCTGTGCGTGGCGATACCCATCGGGACTGACTTCCTTGAGAAAATTGATATGAAGTATTGTAGTAAAAACATGCAAAAATATGAATTTGCGGGAGATAGGGTACTTTCCGGGAGATTCTTGCTTGCTTGTGAGAGTGCGGGAGGCCAGCTTCCGGGAGACTTAGGATATACTGTACGTGCGTGAATGTGGGAAGGCACAAGTTTTTTGGAGGAGTGTGCCCATGTCCCGTCTGTAGACAAGCCCAGTGGACTTTATTGTAAGCAAAGAGATGCCAAATTGCTGGCATAATCAAGAGGCAGTTACAAACTAATAAAGTATACAATATCTGATTTTTTTTTTCTGTATGTCCAGATACCATGTCAGTTATCACTGGGAAAGCTCTCCTGTGCTTCCTTGAGGATGGCTCTCATTTTCAAGGAATCCTGATCACTGAAGGACACCAACAGTATGCACTTTCAGGAAAACCAATGTCTCCTCCAGAGGGCAGCTATCACCAATGCTGTTTTGATGATGTTCCAATGTTCTTCAACATAAAAATCATCAGACATTCGACCAATGAAGACATCACAATTAAACATGTGATGAAAATCGGCTGCGATAACTGTTCATTAGAAAACAAACAGTTTGAATTTCATACAGATGAGTTACTTGTTGGATCTAAAGCTGAAACAGCAATAAGCCAATTCTTTGATACTACATTTTTGGGAAGGAATTGTTACATATGTGTTGGAAAACTTTCACTAAAACTGGAGTCAAATAAGCTGTTAGTTGGATATGTGCTTGATGATGATGGATTCTAAAGTGCTGCGCTTTATGTATATAATTGTGCACTATATAAGGCGAGTCTTTTTCATACCTTGTTTAATGTACCCGCCCACTACAAATATTGATTTTGCTTTTGGCCAATTAGTGCATCCGTCACCACGAAAAAAAAGTTGAAATTAAAACAATTTTTCTTTATTTTTATTGCGCCCTCTGCTGCCTTGGAATCTGCAAAGATGATTTGTATATTTCTTCCTAATTATTCAAAATTTGAAGCATTTAACCAACCTATTTTACATTCACCAATAAAAAATTATATTTTTATTTTCTCCTCCGTCTGGAAGATTTTGGCAAAACTATTTGCTAAGTAAGAAAACAAAATTTTATTTTTATTCCACCCTCCGATAATCTCTAGAAATATAAGTATGTGAAACAAGGAATAAAAAGTGTCTCGCCTAATCATAAATTTATTATTATTTTTATCTGGGTTTTTATTTAAAGATACAGTGATATAAGCTCTTAGTTGGATATGTGCCTGATGACGATGGATGACTTGTACTGTGCTTTGTATACTATGCATCAATTTATTATTATTAAATACCACCTAAATCTAAGTTATTATGTTTAAACTCCTAAACATCAGAACAAGAAAAACTTTCCTTGACAATCAAAGGATGTTTAATTCTACCTGGCATTCCTTATAAATTTGCAAATACCCCAAATTTTTGCAAGCAAGATATCAAGAAAAAACCCTTGAAAATGTAATTAAAACCTGAGAGTTTAGAAAAACCAACTTTATACTTTTATGTTCATTTTCTTATCTAGTAATGCAAAGTAAAACAATGTTTGCTTCTTGGTATTCAATATTTACCTTTTAATATTAAGTATAAGGTACATACAGTATGTTATGATTATAAATCATGGTCATTACCTGCATATGGTTACTATGTGTACAACTGAACGTGGCAAGCCTATTAAAATGGATCTTTCCACTAAGCCCCAGCCCTTGGATATTGATGCCAAGGCCCCACAAAACAACAGTGTAAAAACATGTGTATGAAGGAGAACATGTGTGCTTCTTTGACACTCCAGAGAGTTCTATTGTACTCAAGTCAAACAAACATGCAGTGGCGTATCTAAGAGTCTTTTGAGATTGGGGAGGGGGGAAGTTGCGAAGCGGCGTAGGTCACGTTGGGTGGCTCGATGATTAGTAGACTTGCCACAAGTCCCTTAAATCATATTTTTTCATATTCTGGACAGCGCCATTAATGAGCAAGTTAATTTTGAGACTAATCCGTAAAAAAAATAAATCGAGTATGGGAAGGCAAAGAAATTAGGTATGACACGCACTAAGCGCCATGAAGTGCGAGTAATTCAAAATTAGGGCCTGGAACCCAGGCTAGATAATTAGGTGAGGGGCACTGACTCGCATAATAAGGTGATGTTAACTACTGTACTTGAGCGTGATTTTTTTGGGGTATGTACACCCCCAGATACACCACTACAAACATGGTTTTTAAATGGGTTGATACAGAACAACATCCAGTGCTGTAGTAGTTATTAATTTTCATTTAAAAAATACCAATTAAAATAAGCCATTTTTTTTAGTTTGAACTGTGCATGCCCATATCAAGGTCAACTGACAAACATACACACAACATACGATCAGTATAAAACATATACACATCATAGGTTTATGTCAATTGACCTTGGATATGGGCATATGCAGTTTAGACTAAGAAATGGCTTATTAAATAAAAGAGAAGGAAGTGCAGGCAGACCCAAGAGGTGCAGACTGCCACATCAACTTCACTAGCTCCTGAAAAGTAGTATGATGTGCTTATAGTGATGATGAGATGTCATAATGACCATATTTAAAGCTCTGTCCACACTATCAAATTTTGTGTGACAAAAACATGTGACATGCCCAAATATGGTCATTATGACATCACACCATGACCATATATAGGCATAGCATTACTATATATGGGTATGTCACATTTTTTTGTCAAAGGAAATTTGATAGTGTAGACAGAGCTTAAGTATTTCACATGTTTTTGTCAAATAAAAGTTGGTGTCTGAACAAGGCCTAAAAACTCAAATCCATGAAGATTGTGTGATACAGTAATATAAAACACTTGAGATATTCTGTGGCAAAGCTATACAAATGCCAGATAATGACTATTTTAAAATAATTTATCCATTGATAAATTGAAACACCAGTGTACCAAATGTAAGCCACTTAGAGCATTCCTTTTTATACTTAACAATATTTATTTGAGACTAATAATTTTTTCCACACACAAAGCTTTTACCAAACTTCTATCAGTACTGTATGTGTGACATCACTTCAGGACATAATCACCTGAAGAAACTGTTTTTCATATTAACTGTGACACTGGACTGTCATTTACTGCTGCATCCACCACTAAGATTGGGGAATACAATAATTAAACAGTACATCACAGGTCTAAAAAAATTGGTTCCATTGTTTGTGACTTGTAGAAAACTCCATACACTCTCAATTTTTATGATTTGCCATATATGGCCATGAAGGTGTCACTAGAAACTGCATGGTTACTGTAGTGTTCAATTCCGTATTACTGCTAAAATAATCTTTCTGGTTTATCGGCATACTCTAGGTCACACAGATGACTATTGTGAATGAACATTAAAAGCCAAGTTACCATTGTGACATGATCCGTTAAATGGTGTCCCATTACAAATTCTCTCCTACAAATTCTGAACTTTTTAAATTGTATTATTGTCATCAAAGTTATCTTGGTTGGAAATAGATCAATTTAGATTGTCTATGTTGGACTATTTCGATTCAGTACTGTTCTTGGTATATCTTTCTTTGCCTTTAAACTATCCACCTTTATTGCTTCGTCTTCATCAATGTGTTCAAGCAGTCTGTCTTCTCTTTCCTCGAGAATACTTGTTGTTTTATACGCTTGTTGCCGCCCACCACGGATTAAGTTTTCAAAATTGTAACCAATGAATCCAATGACCAAGGCCGCTGGGAAGGTCACATAAGGTGCATAGGTCCGCAAACCAGCAAGGACGACTGGCCACATTTCTGTCAAATATCTGTAATTCCTGTACACTGAGGATGGTAGAAAACAATTTTTTTTGAGAAATCATATTAATTGTGAAAATTGAAAAATGATGATGATGATGAATTATGAATACTAATTGGTAGTCTTTACAAATTATATATATTATAGTTTAAATTTTTTTTTTAAGTTAAAAAAAATGTTTTTCTTCGTTCATTATCCTTTTTTGTTGGGATTACATGCATTGTAATTTTGAGGCAGCGGCGCCACTAGCATCTCCATATCTTAGACAATAGATACGTGTGCAAAATAAATCTCATATTGATTAATTGATATAGTCAATAATTAAATAACTTTTATTCAGTTTGTTTCTAGACAAAATGAGTATTCCACAGAATGAAAACCAGAAAAGTAAGCTTATGAATTGTATCAACCGTTTCGGATGCGAATAAGTTCAGTCGCAAGTACTATACACCTTTTTTTAATTATATGTTTTCAGTCAATTCGAATGACAAGTACTTAAATATGCATATTAACTTAATTCAAAATAGACTTAATAAAAAAGGTTGTGGGAAATGCAAAAAAAAAAAATGTTTTATAAATGTTAATTCGCCAAGGGAAGCTTAGGCCAGGCATAACATATACGTAGTACAAGAAATGAGCATATTTCCAAGTTTAACAAACTTAAAATTCAATGGTAACTTTTATCATAAATAAGCTAAATATATTTGC